ACATATCTGGGTTTTTGTGAAGATTGTTGTTCATCGGGGGTTTCACTGAGTTTAATTTTTGGGATGTTGTCTAGTATGCATTGATGTGTTTTCCAGATTAAATTTTGGGTTCACAACTTTAATTTGTAGCCTTCGGACTGTTGTAGATATGTTTTTCTGCAGATTTACTAGGGATATAAACGGAGATTGTGGTTGCAGTTAAGATATGATGTATTGTTTTTTGTTTGTTTTTGTTAATGGGGTTGATTTTCGGGTTAGAATAATCATCATGGATGGCTTATGGTAGTTTTGGTTGTTAGAATTGAATGGATTGAAATGAATGCAACCAAAGAGTTTGATCAAATAACTGAGGAATGTAGTTTGTATCATCCCCTTTAATCATGTTGTTGATTTCATGCCACCCTCATTACAACGAGGCAGCAGGAGCTCAGATTGCATGCCTATCTCATTTCAATGAGGCAGTAGGAGCTCAGATTGCATGCCAATCTCATTCTAGTGTGTCATCATGCTCCTGGGATGATTTTTTTTAAAACCGTTTTTTTTTGGGTTTATATCTCTTTTGTGATGAAAGGCTATTCCTTTCATCGCGGTGTTATATATAGCGTTTCATACTCCGAGTTCAAAATTCTGAAGGACGACCCTCCATATTAAAATCTGTTGTTTAACAGCAGAACAACAGAGCTGTACCCTTTGTTCTAGTGTCAAATGTCCCTCGACCGGATGCAACTAGTTTCTCTCTCAAGAGTGATCCACTAGTGTCTCCAGTTCGGCCTGTTTCATCTTGAGATGTTGGAGGTAACCAAAATAAAATTAAAATTAGGTATTTGCCAAAAATCTTTTCCTTTCAAGTGTAGAATATATTGTAATATGTAATTATATTTTAGGGAGTTTATATTTTTGTAACTTACCAAAGTTTAAATGTTCCCATTCCACCATCCATCCTTACAAAAGAAAGAGGAGAAAAGACCTATTGCTTGATTTAAGCTTTATTTTAAGCTTAAAATCTTTCAATGGATGGTTTTATTAAGCTTTGGATGAAAAAGAAGGGGCTATTAACAACTGAAATAGCAATGTAGAAACTTTTTCTTTCCTCAAAATGAAACGTAGATATAGGGCCGATACTTTTTTTATACGGATAGCCCAGCCTTTATTATAATAAATTTTAGTAAGTCCTTTAAAACCGGATAGCTCGACTAGACCTGGAATTTCAAACAAGAAAACGTAGTATCCTAGCCGGGGAGTGGATGATGTGGCAATTGGACTCACCTTCACATAAAGAAAAAAAAATACATAGTGAAATATTCTAAATAATTACAGAAGGAAAAAGGAAAAAAACAAAATTTTACCCCGCACTATCCACTTTGCTCTTTCCTACCACAGATTACTAATTTTCAACTCAAACATTTACATGCAAAGTAACTAACGTCAGCTAAAGCATAGCATTAACACTAAATCTTACCCAACTAGAACAATGCTACGAGTTTGTGTTAACATACCATTAGTTGAGTCTTGACCTTATACAAATGCTCACTCAATTCTTGATGACGTGATAATTAATCAGAAGTTAGTATCCTTATTTGTAGACCGTTACTGATCTAATATATACACGAAAAATGCATGTCGTATATGTCAAAAATTGGAATTTTTAGACCGTTGTTGATTGCTGACTTTATACATATGCCAAAAATTGGAAAATTTTAAATATCTTCTATGAGATATTGTCGAAATTTTTATAATCTCAACAAGAAGTTGACCAAATTCAACGTTTGAGTGATTAGAAATATCACCTCAATAAATTTGCCAAAAAAATTATATGAAAATATCAAGGAAAAAATCGATGTAACTACGATAAAATACCTAACATAGTATTATCTGGTTGATCAAAATCAGATGTTGAATTTGTGACAATGATGTGAGCATGTGTTAAAAGAGGAGAATGTAAAGACTTTTAGTGGTTTATTTTTATTTTTTATACAAGCGATCTTGGAGGATGAAGAACTTAAACGCAGTATCTCGGGTGAGGGGTAACTACACTAAATATTTGACTTAATGCTATTGCTCTTTATGGTTTCTTAATATTTTTATTTGATTGGAATGTATGAGTTTTCCTATATTATTAGCACAAGAAGTTAATTTATTAGAAGTTAGTTTGCTTGTATAGTTATGTGGTTGATGATATTGTTTAGGCTGTCTGTGCTCATGCTAGCTTCTCTGATGTTTCACGAGCATTTTAGGTAAGCAGAAATTTTTGTTAAGGTTGCTAGGATCATACATCTGGGTTTTTGTGAAGATTGTTGTTCGTGGGGTTTCGTTGAGTTCAATTTTTGCAATGCTCTCTAGTATTGCTAGCATTGATGGATTTACTGGATTAAAATTTGTATCAAATAATGTCTTTTATCCTGTTGATAATTTTTGTCAATCAAACCATAGAGTGATTTCACGGTAATCTCATTTCAATGAGGCAGCAGGTGCTCAGATTGTATGTCAATTTCATTCCAATGAGTCATCATGCTCATCAAATAATTTCTGCTATTAGTATTATATATAGCCATGTTTCATACTCGGAGTTCAAAATTCAGACGAGATCTTTTCCCAACCGGGGAAGGGAGGGAGAGTACAATTTTGCGGGTTATGTTTCATCTTGAGATGTTGGAGCTAACCAAAATGCGCTGGAGGAGGGCACGTCAAATAACCGGTCTTGTTTAAGTAAAACAATAGCTCAACCAATCCAGCCCTATCTCGGTACAGCTATAACTCAAGCAAAATTTTAGGGGAAAAAATTAAAATTAGGTACCAGTCTAGACCAAGATTCACCCTCGAGCCAACTGAACAAAAGATGTACAAATACAATTGGACAAAACGACATGTCGTACATTCTAACACCCAATAGGCTTCTTGCCCTCCACATGAAAGGGTCAACACTCAAGACTCAAAATCAACTCTTTGCCCTTGAGGCTAGATGTGTCAAACAAGCCGTGTCGGGCCGGCCTGTCCCATTTAAACTCGTGCTTTTAACATTTTCGTGCTGAGTCGGGCTGGCCCATTTAATTTATCGGGCCGTGCCGTGCCGTGCTGGCTCATTTAATAAAATCATTGATTCCGGCCCAACCCAAAGCCCATGTCCACATTGAAACGGGCCGGGCCGGGCTCGTGCTCGTGCCATACTCGGGCCCAAGAACCAACCCATTTAATTTGAATTTTTTTCACTTGATTTTTTTTTCCACTAGATAATTCAAATTATAAACATTAAAAATATAATTAGAGGCAAGAAATGATGAACTATTTGAAAACATTAATCAATCAAACATCCAAACAATATGAAGGGGAGGAGGGCAAAAAGTGTCCAACTCCACAAAGTCCACTTCAACTTTTCATCTTTAAACAACTTATTATTTTATATATAATGTATTGCTTTGATTATAAGAGAAGCGTATATGTTATTGTAGGGGCTTTTTCATTTCGGCAGCTACTGCGGGCCTGGGCTACCATAAGGAGAAAACTAAAGAAAATATCCCCCTTGTGTCTGAGTTCAAATATCAGACCCCAAAATGTTTCGAAAGGGTTGTAAAGCCTTAAGAAACACCTTGGTTACCTTCACCAACGAAAATAATGGCTGATTACAGATAAATTCTTGGCTTGGCATGAGAAGCTTGTGGGATGGGAGCAAAATCGACATGAGTTTAGCACCGATGAGAAAATTATGCGTACTTGGAGGAAAATGGGAGTGTTAAGGTAAGAAATGGAAGGTTTGCAAGAAGATTTGGCTGAGAAAGGAGGGAGAGAAATGGATGAGTGACTTGATTGTTTCTTCCGGCAGCTTGACAGAGACTCTGTCAAGTGTTGGAACAATCTGCCAGAAGAAGAAAAATGGGGGAGATGGGCAAGCAAAACACGAAATTACTTAGTTTTGCAGGTGAGAGAGGAAGCTTGCTCTTCAGTTCAGATGTGTCTTGTGATGATGAGTAGGAAATGCCTCTTTTTATAGGCGCTGGAAGCTACCCTTTTCAAGAAACCCTAATGGCTTCTATCCAATTTGGCCAAGTCTTTCCCTTCCTTTCTCCCCTCATCCCTTCAATCATCCTATTTTAGTGAAATCCACTCTGCCCATTTGCACAAAATCAGGGATTTTTGGGAGCTCAAGACCCTTTCCCGCAGCTGCCTTAGAACTCCCATTTTCAGCAATCTCCTTCCTTTCCTTTCTTCCTTTTTTTTATGGCCAGGTCTGATGAGGGAAAGAGAATGGGTATGCATGCTGGTTCAAATGGTGATCTGCGCTCCAATATCCCTTGGTCATTTGGATGTTTTTATTTGAAACTTGTTCCTCTCATGTAGGGGTGGGCACGGTATGACATGACACGGGATGAAGGTCATCCCGGTGTCAATCCCGAATAGTGGAATCGGTATGGGATGACACGGGATGAGGGTTTTTGAAAACACGTTCAAATCGTACCGAACCCAAACGGGATCGGTATGATTCGGTATCAATGTTGATACCGTAACAAATCTACAAATTTTCAAGTTCAATCAAATCTGAAAATCAAATGGCTGCTGTTACAACTTACAATAGTTCAATCAAATCTGCAAATTTTCAAGTTCAATCAAATTTGAAAATGGCTGTTGTTACAAGAGTTCAATCAAATATGCAAATCTTCAGATTCAATCAATTCTGAAAATCAAATGGCTCCTGTTACAACTTACAATAGTTCAATCAAATCTGCAAATTTTCAAGTTCAACCAAATGTGTTTGTACTGGTGGCAGCAGCTTCAGTACTTGCATATTCTGCAAAAAATAAATCCACACATGTTCTTATAACCAAATGCAACATTATAAAATAATAAACAATTAAAAAGCCTAAACATTTAAGATCAAATTAAAAATAAATACAACATTATAAGTAATAATTAATAAACATAGTAAACAAACCTAATTCAACACTCTCAAATGAGGGTGAGGTTCCCGTTGAAGAAGCATTATATGCAGACTGATGCATAGAACAAAAGTATCATATGGATATCATTAATAGATTCATAATAATAGTAAAAACAAGTTTCAAGGCTTCTTACCATTCCAAATTCCCAATTGGGGCTTCAAGCTACGTTGGAGAGCTGATGCAAGAATAATTTAACTGCAAAGCTGCACCAAATGACAAATTAATATTACTTTGGGTTTGATTATGATATGATACCAATTAATTCAAATGGCTGGTCTTGATTACATTCATAATTTAAATGATTAATTGAACCCACGTGTGCTACCATTGCATTTCATGTTGTAAGAAGATGAGACAATATAAAATTTAATGATAGTAAATTAATGCACAATTTATATGCTTATATATAAGAAAACAGACCATGGAATGCATAAAAGATATTTGCATTTGGTATCGAAATGCCAACTTGTGGTCTAAATGCTATGGCATTCAAAATTCATTTATTTTGTATTTAGGGTCTGAGATGTATGAATTTAGGTTTGAAATCCAACTATTTCAAATCTTGATACTTGATTAGTGATGTCGTGTACCATTGGAGGTCTAGTTTGTCATGGAATAGAATTGATGCTGAACCACAGTTATTGTGCCTGAAATCTGAGCACAGAAACTTCTTTAAGAACATAACTATCAGATATATATACATATACATAAACAGTAAACTGACAGTAGCCCATATGCATGTTAATAATTCATGTCTTCCCAAAATCAAAACCAATCCATCCTAAATAATAAGAGAATTGATACCATATGGTATTAATAGATTCCCACACATGCTTACAGAACCAATTCATGTCTTCCCAAAATCAAATAATCTCTCAAATTTGAAAACAAATACCTGAGATTGGTAGCAGAGGGTAAGGCTTGAAGAAGAAGATCCTACAAATTCGGAGAGACTTCGGGTTGGGTTGGGGCTTTCCTTTTCCACGGGTTTGGTTTTGCCGTTTTGGAGAAGAACAGAGACAGAGAGACAGAGAGACAGAGACAAAGGAGGATGAGGAGGAGAAGAAGATGAGATCGATTGATGTTGTGGAGTTGGGAACAGATTCAATTTGATTGAGAAAGGAGAAGAGAAGAGAAAAATCAGACAGAGGAAAGGAGAAAGGAGGAAAAAACGCAGAGAAACAAAGAGGCAGTCGACAAAAACATCTCTATGGACTTAGGGTTAGAACTGAAATGAAAATAGGAATTAATAAAATAATTTACTATTCGGTACGGTATGACATCAACCGGGATCACAAATGTGAAATCGATGTCGTGTCAAACAGTAACGGGATGACACGGTATCATCCCGTTTACACATCAACACCAAACGGGATGGCACGAAATTGACACGGTTTGACACGGTTTCGAGATGACTTCGGTATTTCGGTTTTGATGCCCACCCCTACTCTCATGTGCTGGAACTTCCCAGCAGCTCTGCATAGTGGACCTCCAGACTTCCCTTCGTGGCTTTGTTCTTCAGCCAGGTGCTGGAGCTTTGCAGCTCTTCTATTGCAATTGTATAGGCCAAGTTGGTTTATTGAGTAAGTGGGCTATCTCTATCAAGCATTGGGCTTTTTTGGTTGAGTCAATAGGCTATTTTGGTTGGGATATTTTCTATTTTGTGCTCACCTACATGTTTGGGCCTAAGAAATGGGCCTAAGTTCCGAGGCTCCCAAGAAACCCCGGGACTTCCATTTCTTGGCCCATTAATGGGCCTCATGTCAACTTATTACCATCCATACCACAACCCACTCAAACAAGCCCCAGGCATCTTGCGTGGCTTTGGCCCACTTAAGCTTGTAGTGTGGCGTGTTGCTTATTTGCTTGGCGTGGCATGTGTGCAAGTGTATATAACGAACTTTCGCGTGCCCAAATCGGGTTTCTTCTCGATAAGGTATTGCATTAGGCCGAGAATTTATTTGGGCCGAACCGTGAATTTTTTGGGCCTCAACAGTTATATGTATTGATTAGATATCAAGTCCAAAGTTGTTTAATTAATTTGTAGTTGATATGTTTAATTAATTAAGGACCCAAGTAATTCCCCTAAAATGAAAGACATCAAATATATGTTTATGATTAAAAAAAAAAAAACATATAAACAATGACATTAGATGTCAAATTATTGCATTTTGACTTTTTGAGAAGAAAAAAAATGCTAAATGGGCTGGGCTTGGGCCATGCTTGAAGTGGGCTTGAGCTCGTACCGTGCTTGAAGCGGGCTCGGGCCATGGGCCGGCCCAGTCCATTGGACTTATTTTTTGATCCCGGCCCTGCCCAAGTTTTCGTGCCCTGCCGAGCACAGCCCATTAATATTCGTGCTCATGCTGTGCCGCGCCTCATTTAAACGGACTGGGCTCGTGCCGTGCTGGGCCGGCCTGTCCCGATTGACACCACTACTTGAGGCTTCTTCTTACTCTTCCCACAAAGCAAAACCCTTTGCTCTCTGTAACAAGTGAAAACCCACAAAATGGACCCAATTCCGAAACTACCCCTTGTCTTCCTCATCACCACCCTCCTCTTTCTCACCACATTCCTTGGGTTATCCGAATCCAACTCGGACCAGGTAGCCCAACTCCTTTCCCTCCAAGCCCGATCCAAATCTGGCGTGATCCGCCTCGACGACCACTCACTCTCTCGATTTCTGACCTCCGTCAAAACCCCAAGGCCCTACTGGGTTCTCATCTTCTTCGACGCCGCAAAGCTCCACGACAAGCACGAGCTCCATCTCAAGGAGCTCCGCAGCGAGTTCGCTCTCGTCGCTTCGTCTTTCATCGAGAACAATGAAGACCCATCGTCTTCTTCCCACGCCAAGTTGTTCTTCTGCGACATCGAGTTTCAAGACTCGCAGCACAGCTTTGCCCAATTCGGAGTCAACTCGCTGCCTCACATTCGCCTCATCGGACCCAACCACAGCCTCAAAGAGTCCCAGCAAATGGACCAGGGCGATTTCTCGAGATTGGGTGAGTCAATGTCCGAGTTCATCGAGTCCAAGACCAAACTCGTCGTGGGTCCGATTCAGCGCCCTCCGATGCTATCCAAGAAGCAAATTATGTTCGCTACCATCGGGTGGTTGATTTGGTTACCCTTTATTGGGAAGAAGATCATCAGTGGCAAGACTTTGCTTCACGACCCAAGAATTTGGTTATCTGGGGCTGTCTTCATTTACTTCTTTAGCGTCTCGGGCGCTATGCATAACATCATTAGAAAAATGCCCATGTTCATGGTTGATAGAAATGACCCTTCAAAGCTCATATTTTTCTACCAGGGCTCCGGAATGCAGCTTGGAACAGAAGGCTTCACAGTTGGGTTCTTGTACACCATTGTTGGGTTGTTGTTGGCATTCCTCACCCGCGTGCTTGTTACCGTCCGCAATGTCAAGGTGCAGCGTATTGTTATGATTATCGCGCTCCTTGTTTCGTTTTGGGCGGTGAAGAAGGTGGTCTACTTGGATAATTGGAAGACCGGCTATGGAGTGCATGCTTTTTGGCCTTCGAGTTGGAACTGAGCTTGGTTAGGATGAGGATGCCAATTCACCACTTGAGCTTCTATAAAGGTGCTGGATCTGTGTTAGTGAAAACTTTGATAATGAATTTATCCTGAGAAAGATGTGTACTTTTTGACAGTTGTTAAAGCTAGTATTTTAGTCAATAACTTGTTTCTGTGTTAGACGAGTTACGAGTATGCTTGTTGCTACCCCTGGTTATAAACACTGTCATCCAGGTCTTTCCACCCTTGGTTATAACTTAACTAGTTGTATGCAATTTTGTTTTGGTGTATTAGTTTTTGTATGTAACTATTCCTTCTACTATTTTTGTTGTGATTTAGGGATGTTGGAATTTTGGGAGTTTAGAAGAATTTAGTAAGTAGTATCTTTCAATTTAAATCAGATTCACTTATAATATCACATTTCTTCCCCAAAATTTGATTTTTAATTTTAATTTTAAATATACTAAATTTGATTATTAAAAAGAAAATGGTACTATTGACAATTACAATAGGTGATATTAAAAAAACAGTTTCGTATTAAAAGCAAACTTTCTATTATTTATAAAGGCTGCTGTCTAAAACTACAGAAAACAACGCTTCCATGTGAAAACAATTACGAATGCAAGTATTTCTTGAAGCCATTAAAAAAACTAAAAAGCCAAGATACAAAGGCGAAAAATATTTTGGGCCAAGTCGTCCTTGATTCCCTTAAGTTACTTCTTTTCTCCTGGTGCTGATGATCTCTTTTGTCTTGTGATACAAAACTTCCTGAAACTCCCTATTACAAGCAAATATCTTCAAAATTTATACTCGAGTATTGAGAAGCTTAGACTGCAACTGGTTCACTTAATGGGCTAGAAACATGCTCTTTAACCTGCCCCAACAATTAAAAAAGATATGTGGGTAAACACATATCAGGAAGAAGAAGAAGTGCAGCCACACAGCATGACGTAAGAAGTTAAAGTCAGCAGCTCACCTTTGCTGACTTGAAAAGTTCATCTAGCACTTCAGACAAAGTTGGATGTGCATGGACTGCGAATTTGATATCCTGCAAGGTCAAATAGACAGTAGAATATAAGTAAACTGAAAGTTGGGGTGGTAGATTATAAGGGTCGCATCATAATTTGCAGTGTACGGGCTTTATTTACTTGAATACGTGTCCCCAATGCTATTGCATTTGATGCTTCATGTATGAGGTCTGCAGCATGTAACCCAAATATATGGACTCCAAGTATCTCTCCGTTATCTGGTCTGTATATCAACTGCATTAAAACAAAGCAGAAACAGGATCATCAATATCCACAGTACATAGCAACCATAAAGGAGAATTCATTGACGACACAAGTACTCAGTACATATTTTTCACCTTAGCAAGTCCCTCTCCTTCATTTTCTGCTAGGGCCTTTGTGTTGGCCTTGAAACTTGTCTTGGCAATACTTACTTCAAATCCCTCCTTTTCAGCTTTCTCCCTTGCTTGAGGCTGAAAATTGCAATTGATTAGTTAAACTGCCAATATGATGACACCTAGAAGATCTCTAATTCAAGGTCGAATATGTTAAACACTGATAAATAAAAGCATAACCTTGTGATACATAGATGATGAATAATGAATATGTCAATTAGCAAATTACTCACCTCTGTCAATCCGACCATACTGATTTCGGGATGAGTGAAACATGCTGCGGGGATGCTTAAATGATTGAGTACATGGTCTCTTCCCGTGACTTGTTCAACCACTGAAAAAGGTTTTGAAGATAATCAATTATTTGTGCATGTTAGAGAGAGAGAGAGAGAGAGAGAGGTTCAAATAAAAACAGGTTGGTTACACTAACCTGAAATTCCTTGGGCACTGGCTGCATGAGCAAGCATCATCTTTCCATTAGCATCACCAATGCAAAATAGGTGAGGAACCTGATGTTCAAAATTCAAATCAGAAACAATTTATAATGTTTTTTTTTTGGTAACAATTTTATAACGTTAATGCTAGGGTTCATGCTCATAAGGAAATTTGCAACATACCAAGTTGCCATTTGCATCTATTACTCGCATGCGCTCATCAACAGGAATAAAACCACGTTGTGTTACTACATCAATCTGCAGAAAAGATATGTGAGAAACTATTGCTGTTCGTTTGCTGAATAATTATATATATACACTCTAAAATTAGATGGATATAAAGTGCGAGGTCATACATTCTCCAATCCAAGACCTTGTGTGAATGGGGCCCTTCCAGTTGCAATTAATGCTGCATCTACCTGTTAGAAGAGGAAGTACAAAGGTCCAGATAAATGCCTCTGAATAACCTATATGCATATGAACTGGAATAACAATGCCTACAGTAATTAAAAGGGAACCAGTCAAGCTACTCAGGAATCAATTGGGAAGTCTAAAACACGCATATGCCTGAGTTCAGAAACAAAATTACAGCAGGTTAATTCATAAATGGCTAATTAAAGCTCCACAGATGAGAACATGTTCCTTGACAACGGTATTATTCAACTAGCGAAGTATGTGGCTGTTGCTATCAAATTCATATGACAATATCCATTAATGGCAGGAAAATATATCCTTTGGATACGTTACATAAGTTTAAACAGATCCAATTAATTACCTCAAGAGTATCTTTTGGTTCCTTGGTCTTGGCATCAATTAATTCAATGGTGACTGGTTTCCCATCCTTTGCTGGTGTG